TCTGGTTTTGCCAGTGAACTATATACATCAAGTACCTCGGTGCGTGAAATAGAATCATTACAAGCATTTCTATACATATTCTATTATCTGTATTTCCTTGGTTGCCCGCTTCAGGTTTCTGATTTAGGTTAACTCACATCTTTTGTTTCATCTGCCTTATTCATATCTTAAACCTTTTCATGTAGCATAGACATTGTGATACACACAATGATCCGTCCGAATACAAACCAGGGAAGTCTTCTAAGGTACTGGCTAGCTAAACGGCGGGGAAAGCGAAGTTCCGTAACGAACAAAATAGTCCATTTTGATCTGTTAAAGATCCGCCTAAACACTGATGACATTCGGGAACGTTAAGTCTATATAACCTTGCAACTCCGGCGCATCCTGCGAATGGTGTTAGTCGTCAGGCTGCCTTCACGTATACCGTGCTTTTCACCTTCTCAGTTGCCAAAAATGCTCCGGTGAATATGAGCTATCAATTGCGTCTGCTGACGGCTTCAGATTTGCTCATTCCTGTTCACCCTTAAGTTCTAATTCCTCCTGTTCATACTGGGTAAATTAATTGGGTTTAGCTCAAACTGTATGCAGATTTACGCATCTTGAGTGTGTCCAGCTAGCAGCCTCATTGTGATGTCTGCGGAAGAATGGCAATCCATTGTTTCTATACAATCCCGGTTACTGTAAACTGGAAGGACTCTAAAGTGTATGTTCGCCAGACTAGCTGGGTTTCTACGGAGTAAACGCATTACCGTGGCACCCTCTACCTGATCGGTGAATGTCTCAGCTGTTACAATAAATAATGTCCAAACCAAACCAAGCCGCTCTCTTGAGAAACGGCTTATCTCACCTCCTGCGAGCAAATTTTGAGCGAGGCCATTTTGGCCCCATATTGGAGGCAGCGTATTCCCGTGAACACTCGCGGTTTGGGTGGGGCATATACTCAAGAGTCGTTCCAAGCTTAAGAACAGCACCGTATAACATCTGACCATTGTTTGAAAGAACGAAGTCCCAGTCAGAGCACTTTAACCCACCATGAGGCTGAGATTTCCGGTAGGATCTACACCTTTTCTTGAGACAAAGTATGGGTGCAACTCCCCACATTATTAAAATTTCTTAGCAGGGGAAGAACGCGACCTTAGTTCATGGCTTGACTTCATCCTCGGTGACATGTAATGGTTTACCCATACACACCATTCATTATCACAAAATAAACAAGTAGTATAACGAGAAAGCGTCCAGCAAACTCAAAATTTACAGTCCCCAGGTACAGGCCACCTAGTATATGCAGAGACAAACACTTCACTCAGGACCATCGGGATCAAAAATTCAACATAAACGGCTTCAATAAAAGACAATGCAATTTTGGCGCCTTACAAAGCCGAGAAACTATGTCAGTTTGAAAAGCCATTTTAATTAGTTTCTCTTGAAAATATCATGTTTGGCAACCATAGAATAGCTGTCAACGGGCTGAATCAGTATGATTACTGAATACCTATAAAGTGGTTATTTGATTTGTGCCCCTCCATAAATAGACGTAACCTCTGCTACAAGTCGGGTAGTCTATGCACTTTAGGTACAGCGCAATTCCTGACATGTTTCGAAAAGTGCACCTTAATTTCTGATCCTAAGAGTGCAGGGATATACGGTGTTGCAATTTGGTTTGAATGTCGTATTCATCGTTTTGCCGCACACGAGGCAAAGACCGGGTGGTGCAGCATGCTAGGAAGAATTTTTTCTACAGTAAACTTTAATTTTGCCAAAAGCCGGATATTTCCAGTAGTCATGAAAATCCGTCGTTTGCGTTTGGTAATATCATGTGAACCACTCTGTCTGGCCCTGAGTTGTGTGGTTTTTCTAAGGCATCCATGACACAAGTGAACCTAATTGGGGGTTAGGATGGTCGTCCGTAACTTTGTTCGTCAGCGGAGATATAAAAACCCTCAGATTTGCAACGCTGTGACGAAAAGTAACGGTAGCGTCACCAGAAAATATCGAGGGCAAGGGAATCAGGGCAGGCAAAAGTATCTTGATGTAGTGTCCTGAATACACTCAGGTGAGTGTTCAGACATTGCTAAGGTTATGATAAAAGTGTAATGCATTTGGTGTGTATTATTAATTTGACTTTTAACCCTGGAATCAACCTTAACTCCAAAATGCGCCGGTGTTCTTCACTCGTTTCATCAAGCATAAGAACAAACTACTTTAGCGTGAACGAGTAGGCAAAATGCAGAACACTGACAATGCCAAACATAATCACAGAACCCTGCGATCTACGCCATGCTACAGAACAAAGAAGTTACGGAGAGCTTGGTCTGAGTATCAGAATAGTCGAAACTACAGAAGTCTAGTTAAGCTAAGTTCGACAAGATACATTATTGAAAGATCTGTCTACTGCTGGAGTACTATAAACAATGACTAACCTGATCGCTCAGCTGCACAAGTAAGAACAATAGTATAACTGCCATGAATGCTACAGTGGGTTTGATATAATCTTCGCCGCTATCTTCCTTGGCGTTATTGGAGTGGAATACCCACTGTGCACCCATCTCTATTAATGTATTTTCCAACCGTCGTAGTGTGATCAAGCAACCTCAACTTTACTTAACGGCAAAATTGTAAGAATTTCCATGTGCTTTACCACAAATCCAATACCAGTTAATTCGCCTGACCGGTCATAAGGTAACAAATCCTAATAGAAACAATGGTAAAATTAACGAAAATGGCGCTTTGAAGAACATATAGACATCAAAAAGTGGCAAATGAGCGTGACACGGTTGTATGATCACCCAGTACTACCATTCACTCGAGAGATTCACTGTTGATAGTTCACCGGAAAACTACCATCATCTATGTAAACTTGACACAATACTCATAAGGTTGTTCGTGCTGGTCACTTAGACATCGACTTGTAATGTGCGCATAGTTCTACGACTATTCCCGAGATTACCCATTTGCTGAGCAGTCGCATAGATGCTGGAGACAGAACTTTCAAACCAGTAGTTGTCCGAGTTGTGTAATTTTTTGGACGTCCTTAGTCGTGTCACCTTTCTCGAGGGAGTCCGATTGGCCTCCAGCCAGTGACATCCCTTTGTAGCTTGTGATGAATTCTCCCACCTGTCAGTGACCTACTGCATGTGGCGGACCTGCTGTTCTGATTGTACCTACGCAGTCGAGCAAGTTTAGTACGGTCGGAATCACAACACGGTTGAATGATGACCACAAGCGTAATGGAAGAACGCAGGACGACGCCTGAGACTTTCGTTGGACTGTCGACTATGGTTTATCGAATGGATACGTTTTCCAACATAACATAGTGTCTTGTGCCACTAGACAATGTCACCACCGGTTAGCGATCCTTAATTCTTTTTGGTCGCAACCCACTGCGAGTGTTGCGTAATTGGTATCACTTATATCGTCCATCTGCATAAATTACCGGGGATGTGATCCTAGGTGGGTCATTTCCCGTGTTTGGTTCCGTTCACTTACTCACCGAAACACCTTTCGTTCATCGATACGACATAACTTGTAATGGAAACTCCGTGACAGTCCGCTACCTGTTCCTCTGCTCATACAGTAGGCGAAGTTCCCGAATTCCAGCAAACCTCACTTGGGAAATGAACACCGAGTAGGAGCTATGTGGATCCAGATGCGGTTTTTCAAATTAATATTAGAGTCAACGTGACTCAGCTGCCGACTTGGGTGGCCCAGTGAAGCTCAAAATCACATCTCTTTGGAGACCATCTGACCAGCTGCTCAACACAAAACGTGTTTTCAAGTTATGAAATTTGAAGCATGCCAATGTCTGTCCATCCTATCATTCAGTCATTTGTCCCAATCAAGGCTGATGCGCGTTGCACTTCAGCGTATAAGGCTATGACGCAGATGGATAACAAAACGACGTGTGACAAAGTACGACCATCTGCGTTATCGAGCGTGAAAGCAGTCTTAAGTTGTTTCATGTACCAGATTGGAAACTGCTGAAGAAATGAGCCATTGGACATTGAGTGTGTTATTATTATATTTGTCATATGAGGCAAACCAAGGTGGCACTAATTTCTGTGACCGAGTTGCCATGGGTGGTACAATTGAAACAGAAGACTTGGAGATTTTAAATGTTTGAGGTGCTCAAACTTCCGTCGCTCACACACACAAGGTTAGTTGATAACCTTGCTTGGCGGTTCACTGAATAGTATTAGTGGTAAGACGTAACTTGGGAATTTCCAGTGGAGAGATCGTCGTGTAAGTGAAGCCAGTCTATGCTGAATAACCGACAGATAGTTTATGGTTGTTTCACCCTTATGGGGAATCATCAGCAGTCCACGAAACGCAGGGGAGGTTCGAACCCCTGAACTAGTGGTAGTTGGGAAGCCTAACAGTTAGCGGCATGCGGCTAACCAGCAGTACGAGTAACTCGCACTCAGACAGGATGTAGTGCCACTCATTTTTCAATCACGGAGTCCAGATCACGTGGTGACACGTGCTGATTAAATAGATCCTCGAATGATGACTTCATATATGGAAGGTCTACTCGGGTGACTAAATTACGTCTCCGTAAGGTAACGCAAATGAGTTTTCTGCTCTCGTACCCATGTGTCACAAAAAAGAGTCTCACGTCCGGCTGACTTCAGCTTACAAGATAACCTTCCAAGAAAGGCTGCCACTGGGAAACACGACGTCTCCTCATAGATTTTGTCATTATTCACGCATAAAGAAGGATGGGGTGCACGTTTGCAGTTTAAACAAAAGACAGGAATAGTCGGGACCTGGAAGTTCCCCTATGAGTGACAAAGCTACATCCCAATCTTGAAGTATGTGATTATTACTTGGCATGGAACCCAGGTTGGCGAAATAGTGATTTTACTGATTACATATATATATATATAATGTATAAAATGTGGGTCAGGGAAAATATTAAAATAATCTGTTAGTGAGGTGCGGTTACTGAAGGCGGAACGGCAGAATATTGAGCAGATTGGAGTGTGGCGCGCTGGTGTACACCAGTGTAGACATGAGTTCGAGTCAGCTGATGGGAATTCGGTTCTACGACAGGCTCAGTTCACGACCTGTGGTGAAGAAATCAGAAAAGTCGTTGGGTCGGGTAAGCCTATTATTATTATTATTACTATTGTTATTATCATTCAAAAGAAAAATCCGGTTTCACGAAGACTATGATCAGACAGATATTTTTTATTCTCCAAGTAAACGAGAATTTTTCCACTAGGTCAACTGGTAGCCCAACCTAAACCTAAGCTGTGGTCTGAAAAATTCTCACAGAGGGCTGATCTGGGCTGGTTTCAATAAAGTTAGAGTTTGTGGATGAGAAATAAGAGACGATGTTTTGAGGGTGCCTGGAAAGAGAATAATAGGGTTTAATGGACTCCTTGAAGTAACTTGTATACATGAAACATCTGAGATGACTCGTAGCAGTCTCATGGTGCGGTACCCTGTCCTCAGTCTAGACAGCCTGGAAATACCATTCGCCGTCGCAGCTCTCTCTCTCCAGTGAGACACTTACAAACGACACTTCCACTGTGGTCAATTAACCTGTCAGTTTCCTAAGCAGCGTTTCGTGTCTGAACTGATGTCCAGTAAAATAAGCCAAAATAATGACTTACTGAATCTAAAACGTTTGATTCACTTTACAACTTTCACCATCTGTACTCTCTGTCGAGGTGGACGACAGGTATCTCCTACTGAGATTTTGGTTTCTCTTTCTGTCGATACACGTTGCGTTACACAAACACGCATACAACAACACCGAATCGGACATGCGCATCAAACCACCTAGGACCAGCTCTAATGTTTCACATTCCACTGTTCAGGTATGCAATGCAATGATTCGCGGTATCTATGGTGTGGGAGTTGCAGTCAACCTCAGAGCCGAAAGTACCTTATGGGACTGCAGTTCCCAAAGTGAGAAAGATGTCACAACCGTTCCGATCATCAGAACCAACGGACAGTATCATTTTGGTGAACGACACGAAAACCGAAACTGGATCATTAGACCAGGGAGAATCGCATTTGATTGGTAGATTCGCAGCCGATGCTCAGTAACCAGCCATATTCGGCCAAACAATACAACAAGGAAAGTAGTCCATTCTTAGAGTAGGTTATTGCAGCACACGAGTACGTTGCAGTCTATAGTTTAAAAGTTACAAAAAACACAGATGGGGAAATAATGAATTTCGAACAAAAAGGAAATCACTGGACGTACTTCGACCACCAAGCTTTCTAAATAGACATTTCAGTTGGTAATTGATCAGGTGGCTGTTGATCAGTTCGCCGAGCTTGGCAATTGATTTGCAAACGTTTCGTCACCATTCGAGGAGACATCTTCAGTGCGCTGTTGGTTGGGTAGTTCCTCTCTTTGTGCCTGCGTTTATACAGTCTATAATGAGCAGCCTTTGCGCTGTAACCTGGATTCTGATTGACCCGTTCTTGATCTGTATTGCATCGTGGTCGGCTTCTCTGTTGGTTTGCGGAGTGCCTCCTATTTTTAGTAGATTGCTGTTCTATTGAGGTACGCCGCAAACCAACAGAGAAGCCGACCACGACGCAATACAGATCGAGAATGGGCCAATCAGAATCCAGGTTACAGCGCAAAGGCTGCTCATTATAGACTATATAAACGCGGGCACAAAGAGAGGAACTACCCAACCAACAGCGCACTGAAGATGTCGCCTCGAATGGTGACGAAACGTTTGCAAATCAATTGCCAAGCTCGGCGAACAGATCAACAGCCACCCGATCAATTACCAACCAATACACCCGAGCTACCAATATTCCAACAGATTACCAGACATTTCAGTCTATGATAATTGAAAGGCACCGTGTCATTAAGGCAGAAGGCTAATAACGTACGTGGGCGTAGCTGATATGCGGCTTTAAAGTACTTTGGTGGCAGACAACCGTCCGTGTTTCCCTCTGTTAGAATAACGCGGTTTGGTGTGATGTAAAACCTATACCCGTCAGCCATGGCTCGAGCAAGGTCTATGTAGATCAGCACCTCTACATTGGCGCGAACACCACTGATCACTCCACGATCTCCTGGTTCACCTGCTGCCATGTGAATGTGTGTACGACCCATACGTTTCAGTCCTTCGGTACGAATTTTCTCCCAGTTTCGGAAATAAGTGCCATGCAGGACGGTCGGGAAATCTGAAGGAATTGTGATCAATGTGTGCGCGGGGTGAGAAATCTTGAAGAAAGGAAGAGAAACATGGCGTAGGTGTCGAGAAAAATTGAAAATGTTACTACTACTCATAAGATTGCTGAACACTTGTGAGTTGCTTATAGACAATTTATGGCGATATCTCGAACATTGTACGCAGTAGGAAGTGAGGCGGCCTTGTTCAGCACATCCAGTTGAGTCTTCCGTCAGAACCAAATTAGTGCGCAAGGTGAGGATATTGTTCCTAGTCTGAATTTTCTACTTCTAATCTACTCTGTGTCGTCCAACAACTTTGGATGTTGTTCAAATAAGTTGTGTTCTGTTCACCTCACATCGATTGGCTTACCGGCTACTCTGTCTTGTTATTTTGAATGCTTTTCAGTAAGCTGAACATTACAGTCCATCTTAATGATACCACAGAAATTCACTTCATACTCAATCACTCGTAGAGGTAAAGTCATCTGACCACGAACATTTTCAACAGTCAGGACAGAAAAAGCACGGACACATCGCGTGTACAAAGGGCGCTAACGACCAAACGTAATTAACGTGTAAGTCACCAGGCGAGAGTTCGAGACTTCCCGACTTATGACTTACCACTAATCATATCAAATAAAATCCGCCTGTTTCAACGTCGATCAACACTAATTAGGTATGCTGTGGTAGTACAACTCATGATGGTCTGAGGTAGCATAAAAAGGGACAAACTGAGTGCCACAAATCTGTTTATAAAAACCTCACCGGACTGTGAAGTGCCGGAATTTTCTTAAGAAATGTTGCCCGAAGGTTTATTGCTCCAGTCCCAACAATATCGAAACACACGCAACTAAGGTAACCACATAAAACGAATAAGCTTCAGATTGACCTGGGGACCCAAAGTACACAGGGAGAGGAAATTTGGAATTCAGTTTAAGAGTTGGTGAAACCAGTAACGAAAAACTTTTTCCCATAATAAATTATTTTCAAGTGGGTGTCTTACAGTTCAATCTACACCCAAAGTAGAGGCTGTTTTCAAATATCAACGTTTGCTTTTTTTCACTCGCTGAATCCAGTGGGAATCCTTCCTTCCAATCGATCTGACACACTAAATTGTGGAAGACAAATACGGATGATGTGAGCGATGAACTGACATCCGATGTCAGATGTCGCTAGTCCTAAGCGGAAAGTAGCAGCGGTTTCGAAACGCTGAACGAGATAATGACACCCCTAAAATGTAAATATATTCTTCTCCAGCTCATTCAATATTGGAATCACGTAATACTTGTCCTCACCAATTCTGAAATATTTTTACTTCCCTCCGCCAGTAAGCAATCGATCGAACAGCTGAGATCAGGACGTGTGTTCGCAACGCGGATGCTTCTACTTTGTTTGGGGAGTATCAGTGGAATCCCGCAAGGCTAAAAACATTAAGCTGATACATTCCCTGTTGGTTACTTTCAGGCTCTATGATCAGTGGGCCGGAGTAGAAACGGGGAGTAAAAGTACACTTGGCTGTGGTACGTGAGACGATCGGATCAAAAAGCAACGAATACAACCCACTTTATGGCAGGCGGTTTTGGTATGCACGTACCACTGACAGAAAAGCAAAGCACATAGTTCCACAATGGAAGCCATGAGTTTCTAACACCAGAATGATCTCAATCAAGACTGATGACGAAACGGCACTGTCAGTAACATTCAACCAAGTGATAGCTCAGGCAGATTGCACTCAGCAGTCCTCCTCAACTCGAACTACAAAGTCGTTCACAGTCATTCTTCGAACAATCTATACACCTAGTTCTTCCGTTTTAGTTAGCCTTTCAGATTGTTCTGTACGTTCAGTCACTGACATTAGCAAAAGTGAGAAAAGTTCAAATTATTTATAACTCGTGATCTACAGAAGAACCGGAAGATGCCACTTGTCCCAAGGTAGTAGAGAGCTTCGTGTCTATTGCTACTCCGATAGAGTAACCAAACTGCGGCGCATCGGACAGATGAGCGAAATTTAAGGGGAGGTCGAACGGAGTGGGGGGACAATGTGTAGAGATGGCCATTAGGTACAGGCAGTGTAACATTAAACTGACGGAAAACGTCAAGCTTACTTGAACACTATGACCCTGGAACGCACGTATTTTCATTCGTCCACTTTCAGGGTCCATGCACATTTCAAAGCGTCGCTTGTCATTGTTATCCACAACATGGCGGATTTCCGCTTCGGTAACACCACGGAATTTAGCCAAACCAAGTAGTTCGTCCAAATAAAGGAATCCCCCTATAGATGAGAACGAAGTGGTAGTGAGGGGGATCAGCTACCTGGCATGTAGTTCAGCCCGACTTTCACAGCACCATGTCGTAAAACCCACGCCAGCTTTTTGGACAGCAATACATCAGATTTCTCCTGAATTTAGAAAGGAAAAAAGGCATGTAGAATAGGGAGTGACAACTTAAGTTCGATCCAGCAAAGAGTGAAGTGAACATGGGTATTTGGAACTACACTAAAACCCTTTGAAAAGAGGCAACCAGGGTTGGGGAACCCCAAGGTCCCTCTGGTTTAATCGTCCGGATGCTCCCATATACCCAGGCACAATTTCCATCCTACGACTAAGGAAAATGTACTGACTCCTAAGACAACTAAGCGGAGAAATTTGCTTTTTAAAAAAGAAACTTTCTAACCGGTTGTAGTGCGGATCAAGTTGTTGGACTAGGCTGAGTAGCACTGCAAATCCATAAGATACCATTTCTGACAGTATCCGAACGTGAATATTTAGAAAGATGATTGAATGTGCCAATTTAACTCCACTCAGTTGCTTGTTAGAAGCATTAGTCTTGTCGTTACCGTGTTCAGCACAAAATTTCTCGGCTGTCCATAGCAGTTGGACCAGCTTAAAAAAATCGGAAAACGTAGAGGAGGTTTTCCCTTGCTGGCATCGTCAAAGTCAACGGATTTCCACTTTCTTCCTGGAATTTTAACCAAGAAGACATGTTAGAAAGTTTAACCCCACTCGGGTCGTATAGCCTTGGTGGCCGAGTAGACAAAGCCTTGTAATACCATTTCATTGACCTGGGTTGCACTCCCCGTGGAAGCTCACCCCTGCCCTAAAAGTCATGGCACATGTTTTCGAAACCAAGATGAAAAAATATGTCTCTTTCTTTGATCGAATACATCAATCCAGTAAGGTTAAGTGGACATCCTACTTAAATCTAGACATTTATTCCCGCATATTAACATGTACAGGCACGGTGCCGAAATATTCGCCTTCAAATGGTTGCTAATTACGTGGCTTCCGAACTGTACGCCAAGCTCACTGAGTGACACCGAAAAAACACCAAAAGTACATCAAAATCGACTCGAACCAGCAAACCCCAAGGACAATCAACTCCAAATCTATCAAGTTCGAAACTGTACGAGGAAATGGAACCAATTAGAACACTCCAATAAATCAGAAGGGAAAGTAGAACAAAGAATGAAAACCACTAGAAGAACGGCATCCCAGAAACCGACTGCCAATCGTATATGCGCGCTTGTCACCACCTGCCATCAGCAGCGCAGTCGACTCAGCCGGCTTACCGTATCACCTACACGAAGGATTGATTGAGTATCCAACGGATGATGTGGGCCGATCGTGAATACCCAACTCAAGTGGTCCAGCTAGGTGGCCCACCTCATTTACACTTCACTTGTTCATCAGTGTCCTCACAAACTACAAAATTCAGGCCAAGAAAAAGGGATAGTCGACTTCGCTCTTCACTGAACCTTGCAGTGCATTTGTTTTCCGACGCTGTGTTCCGGGGCTATCAAGCAATTCGTCTAAATGAAAATTAGCTTGTTTTAGACAGATTACTTTGTTAGTATTTCCAGCCCTAGTCATCTGGTCGGCTCAATCCATCTGATGAGCAGTCATTAGAGTGAAAGCTGGAGTAGACTGTCAATCAGAGGTGATCCCATTCTTCACATAGGTGAAAAAATGTTCTCCCTGATCGGAAAGTGGACCGAAGAATCACTCGCACAACGCACTTTACGTGCTATGCATAATGATGACGACAATGATAGGTGTTTTACAGTTGTTCATGAGTAGAATGGACTGGCACCCGTTTCCAGATTTGCATGTCAAAGCGAAAAAAGTCTACGGAACCCCACGCAGGGTGGGTGATAGTACACACGATTTTCAAGGAGCCGATTATGTAGCTAGTTGGACGTCCTTACCTCGGAATAAGCTGGAGGGAATAAGATCGGAGCATCAGCGTTGTAAGACGATCACAAAATCATGAGCATATTCAACTGATGATGAAAAACACAAACAGCGGAAACCCACAGTATACAGGGGAGTCGTGCCACCCTACAGACACACGAAGGCTAGTTAATGTCATTATTGTCGGATCCGTACGATGGTTGGACAGATTCATTTCTACCATTATGTGGGCTCAGTACGCCGAACTGTCCAGTGTTATAGTGAGTCATTTACAGACACACACGATTTACAGATAAAATGTGGTACAACGTGATACAATAAATGCAATAGAAACAACAGGATTCAACACAATACATCTCAGTGTGACACAAACAACATACAGACAAAATGAAAAAGAGATACAAATCAGCGAATCAGACCAGAAACCTGGGATGGTGAATCACAAAATGTTCCATCATAGTGGGCCGCTTGAATGACGCGAACTGTGAAACTGATAATTTTAGGTATACTAGGTACCAACTCAAAACTGGGAACAACAGTCGATAAAAACCAGCAAAATGACAACCATTGGTTTAGGACAAAGTGATAAAATTAAGGCTGGTAACATTACAAAACACAATATAAAGGACGTCCGAATGTCCGCTTGACAATGCCAGAAAGATAAGGTGTACCCGAAGACAGGACAGAATCGCACCAGATTATGCGATCCGCATGCAGTTTGAAAACACATCAAGCCACTAGTACTACACAGATCTACGCATTGTTGATCAACATTCTGCTCACCGTCTTGAGGGAACCATCATATACATGTGCCTGCTACTAAGCGACAAACTTGTTGGAGGTGAGCGGAACTTCGCCAATTGAAACAAACCAGGATGCGAGTGTCAGGCACCAGCTAGGGAAACTTACATTTACGCAACTGAGTAGACACAATGAAACGAATATGATTTCATCACTATTGTACGCAATGTTGAGTAAAGAGTTATAGGTGACTGTGGGTGGTTTGCGACGCCATTGCAAAACCATTGAGTTCAGAGCGAAAACCACATGGGCAACGCCAATAAACAAGGGGGCTTTAGGGTGAACAAATAGTAAGGCGTTTTTACGGAATGCTGTTGAAAAAACGGCGTGTACGAAAAGCCCAGATTCGAACGACCTAAAGTGTTTTCCAAAAATGGTCCCCTTTGCCAAAGACAGGAGTGACCAAACACTTTAAAACCGGGTATACAGCTTACAGTCATTGGCGAGGTATCTAGCTCGACCCTGTCTGGGTCTATGTGACCTGGCACTATCCAGAGCACTTTTGTTTCCTGGGACTGCTCCGAAATTACTCACCGAAAGTACACCGAATTGGAAGCTCTCTATTGAGAAATTAAGTGACATAGACATATGTCCCAAATCCGAAATTCCGTGAAACGCTGTTTTCAACATTCTAGTATTACAAAAGCGTAAGATCGACTCGTCGAACAGAAAGTATTGAACTGTTTTAGGCCTTCATATCTCATAGTAGAAATTCTGCTTCTCAAATCCAGTTGGGTTTTCCGTGAGAAACAAACAGGTACGAAAGTGAGTGTATTTAACTAACTTCGTGTAGTTTGGGTTCAAGTAGAACATAAGGTTGATGGAAACTCAGGGATTGCGTCTACCTGTTGAGCCCCAAGAAGGGCGAAACAGGTCGTGAGCTGTTGAAAATTTATCAGAAACCGTATGAGTATTGTGCTACGTTTCTACATTATATTGCGATCTAACCAAAACATGAGGCGGCCTGGTGCAGCACATTCAGTTGAAGAATACCATAAACGAGAGTTGGGTCTCCCTAAAAACCAAATGCGTATGCAAATGAGTGTATTTCACCAATAACAATTTTGTCCAGCTGACCACAGGGACATGACAAGTTCAGGGTTTGCGATGGATTTTACTCAGTGACAAGGAGGACACATCTAACCTAGATTTACGGAGCGGTGCCGACCTTTTACGGATTAGTAGTTACAATCAGAACGAATCTGCGTTGTGGTAAATAACCCCTGTTCCTCCATTCCAAATAATTCGGAAGTCAGTAACGAAACAACATCTAGACCTCGAGGTTTGTTGTGGCGAGGCATCAGTCTAGGACGATGATTGTTCAACTTTGCAGCCCACGTTCGGGGAGCACCTATGACTCTAATCACCAGGTAGAGCGGTATATAACGACATCCTTTTCATTCCGCATGAAAGCTGAGAAGTCAGTGGAGGAATCTCTGACTTGTCGAACTTTCGTAATTATCTACAGGATAAGCTTGCTGCTGATCTGAGAAAAATTGTCACAGAGATGAAGTGGGACAGCTGGACGAGAGATGCAGTATTGCAGCAGCAATCTGTGATACAATTCGCTTGGGCGGATTCACCCTGTGTGATACGAATACAACAGGTTCAAGGAGTTTAGGTGTGACAAAAAAAGGACGCAAACAGCTCCACATAGGGTGAATATTTTCTATTCAGTTATGAAGACCGAACTCTCTGTATAAATAAATCTCTGCACATAAGTTTTCCCCACTGAAGAGCATGGTTAAAGAACTAGAAAAAATTCGTCCCACTTTCAAACAATGCCCTAATACAGTTATAAAAATAGCTGCAGGCAGCCAGGATTCCTGGTCGGGCAATCAACAATAGTAGGACGGCGTTCACCACGTGAAACATTTGGTGTGTCCTAACATATCCATCCTCTAAACGGAGCGCAACGAATGTTCATGGCTAACATCTTTTAGCAGGTTCATTATCAAGCAAGTCAGTCAAAAAAGTGCTGACCTCCAAGAAAAAATAACGAGGCGAAGAGTGTGCATTGACCGACTTCTATGGCACATCGATGCAGGGCCTCACTGCAGTGCCCATACTACGGTAAACCCCATGTGTACGCTAATTATTGAGAGCTTCAAGTTTTCACCCGGTTACATAGTTCTGGTGTCATATAGAACTATCAAGAGTTTTGAGTTCAAAACCGAACAGTTTGGTTATTCATTGGAATTTCAAGAGCATCATCGAACACCTGTTGTAGAATTCGATAATCAAACTCCATGTGTGACATACAAAGACCATTTGCAACGCCTGTCACATTGCTAATCAAGCTATGCTAATATAGATCAACCAGAAAATGGATCATCAGACAGATCCATGTCCGTTGAATGTTATATCTGACTGCTATCCCTGCTCTAGTGCCTAGTGACGGAAAAAAGACTGGCCGACAAGGAACACAACAGCTTTATTTCGAACAAGCGAATGCCTGCAAAAAGTACAACGGACTCGCGCTATATGTTCACGGGGCACCGTCTGACCCTGATCCAAGACTGTCTCGCACTGTGTGGCCTTCATCCAAGACTGTCTGATCGGCGTTTAATGGAGTTTAAGGGTCTCAGTAGGTTTCGGGTATTCTGGGATAATATTGAGGAATCTAACCTTCCTGACATTAATAATCTATGGCACGTGCAATGTACACATGGTGAGACTTCGAAAGTACATGGTCCCGTAACTTAGCGTCTTAAATCCAAGGATGGGATGGCATGTGCAGTATTTTCCTACCTAATCTGCTGCTCGTAGTCGGATTAATTTTATGTATCGGAAACGGGTGCGATCAACGACTATAGGCCACCCGAGAACGAGCACACGAGTCCCCAGCTATGAAGAGAGCCCGACCACTACTAGCGCAAAGAGATAAGACCAGATCTTCAAAGGAGGGCTTTTACTGCCTCAACCAAGGGTGAAGTACAGCGGGAGCACCGTCGATTATGTATATTTTGAGCGACCTTTGGGAACAATAAATTCGTTAGCGTACACAAAGTTCAACTGGTCAACAGAAAAGAAGCGCATTCTTCCTGGATTGAGGCGTAACATGGCGGAAAAGGCTTGGCAATACTTTGAAAATTAAATAGTCTTGGGGATACTGATATCTTAAACAGTTCAGCAGTAAATTACCTAACCACAAAAATATGAGCGAGCTGCACATTCTGCAAAGCGAATTAGAGGCGAGAGTCCCTGGTTTCGAGCGGACTGGGATTGGATGGATGATTGTTAAAGCATTTGTCAAGCAAAAGACCACAGTGTCACCAGATGCCACAAATGAACCGTGAAACTGAAAATCGCAAACTTTATTAGTATCCCCTTAATATGCTACTCGTGAGGTTGCTGAAAAATTTTCGACATCTGACGATCGGTTTCGCCCTTTTTGGAGCTTATCAGGTGGGCGTAGCCCCTGAGTTCCCACCAACCTTAAGTTCCACTTGAACCCAAAATTGCACAAAATTAGCGAAACACATTCATTTACGAGCAAATTTATTCTTACGAGAGACTTGCCTGGAACCCAGCTGGATATCTCGTTTTATCAGGTGTAGCCCCTGAGTTCCCACCAACCTTAAGTTCCACTTGAACCCAAAATTGCACAAAATTAGCGAAACACATTCATTTACGAGCAAATTTATTCTTACGAGAGACTTGCCTGGAACCCAGCTGGATCTCTCGTTTATGGTGTTTTCAAGCAACTGAATGTGCTGCACCAGGCCACCTCATGTTCCATTTGGTACGATATTCGAGGTATCGCGATTGATCTATAGACGTAATACACTATCCATAGGGTCGCTGAAAATTCTTCAACAGCCCACGACCGGTTTCGCCCTTCTTGGGGCTCATCAGGTAGGCGCAGTGAATGCATTTCGACAAGTTCGTGCAATTTGGGTTCAAATAGAACATAAGGTGGAAGGAAACTCCGGGACCGCTCCCACCTAATGAGCCCCAAGCAGGGCGAAGCCGGTCTTGGGCTGTCGAAGAATTTTCAGCAACCTTGGGAGTGTATTACGTCTATGGATGTATTGCGACATTTCGAATATAGCACTAACTGAAACATGAGGCGCCACGGTGCAGCACACTCAGTTGCTTGAAGACATCATAAACGAGAGATTTAGCTGGGTTCCAGGTGAGCCTCGCAAAATCAACTTTGAATGCAAATGAGTGTATTTCGCCGAGTTTATTAGTTTTCGGTTCATTTGCGGAACGATGGTGTGGGGAAGCGATTCGGCAGAAAAACTGTTTGGAGTAATTCTTAAGAGCTTTAAAGCATTAAAATACGAGCATGTACCGTGAAACATGTTCAAATGTTGAGACTCTCCTTTAAGATAGTGTGGTAAATCTGATGCACACTAGTAGTCAATATTTAAGGTTTAACCCTGGTACTATGAAGAACAACGGGGCGTGAATGTGAGGATGACGAGGAAAACCTGATATCAAAATATAAACTGGTGTTCCCTTGACGGAAGACACTACTCATAAGACCTCACCCTCTTTGGAGCTCATAAGATGGGTGCAGTCCGCCGAGCTTAAATTCTACTCGAACTCAGGGTGTGCGCAATTCGCGAGATACACTAATTTGCAAACTAGCGTAGTTTTAACAAGAGAATCCGTTGAGAAAATCTACTGTGGTATCCCGAATATCATCCAAACTGAAACATGGGTAGCCAATTCAGCTGGAGAATATCGTAAACAACAGATTCAGCTGGGATTCATTGGGTCCTCCGTTAACACCAAGTTAGGTTGAAAATGAGTGCGCTTCGTAAACTGGTGTACATTAGCATGTAGGGTCGTTTAGTTCAACTGATGTTCTGATGGTGTTCTGATGAGAAGCAACTCAGTGTGGATAAAATTCCTTGAGAATAAGCAAAAATGCACAGCTGCTCTCATGGCTCTGAACACAATGTGGGGGAGTGCACTTTTTGCAGAGGTTACAATTAACCTGGAGGGGTTTTTAGCACTGTTTTAACTAGAGGCCTGATTCAACCCACTGTTGAGGATGGGGTGGTCTTTCAGCTCGGGGTGATGTAGCCGTAGATTTTTACCATCAATGGAACTCAGATTTGATATGCTACCGTCATTCAAAGCTGTTGCGCAGCCGATGACAGCTGCATGATAAATTTTATTGTGGTGTAATCACAAAGCATTTCAGCGTCGTAGGCGGGAGCACTGAGAGCTAATCACAAAAAGAAAGAAAGCCTGGCATAACTAGGCAATGAACGTAGGAAGCCATGACTTTCGGGCGGACAAAAACAACGCAGAAATCAGTGACTGAAAATGAAGTACTAATTGAGATCAAGTACCTTGGCGGCGCCACGAGTCCCGGGTGCAGCAGACATGGGTTTATGTCTTGGTCGCTTCTACTGCAAGTGGAAAAGAATAGAAATAAATGAACGTAATGGACAAGGTGACTTTCATTTTCCCCTGAAAACTACTCAGTAAGGATGAATTTCATCCAGGAACCTCTGGTTGGCCAGGGGGTAATTCCAATTCGATATTGGATCAAGGGAAAGAACAAATACAAACTATACACACACACACACACACAAGTTAGACCAATCAAAGGAGCACGGATGAGCTGACCAAAAAACACCTATTTTCAACAAAATAGGAAAACGTGCGAATAAACGCTCAACTGCAAATTGGTAATAATAGGAGACTCTAATGAGTTCATCATTCAGTGCATTTTTCACAGCGTTCTCTTATATGGGTTAGTTGCTTTGAAGAAGTATCTCCCTACGTCTCACGTAGGTCAAGATGTAAAGTAGCGCCACGACGAAGAAACCAGAGGAAGGTTGAGGTCGGGTGGAACAAATCTTCAGGGTCGCCTAGGCCGTACACCTTCCTTCGTCTGTCTATGGTACACTCAGGTGGTTACGGTCGTGCTATTTTGGTAATGGTTAATTCGGAATGTTCACAATGGAAAAACGCACCAGTTGAAAATTTTGAGAAGCGGAGGCACAGGAAGAATAACTGTCCTAATTATCCTGGTTTTCGATCGGTAGCTGGACGGTGCATGACATGGTAACGAGGTACGAGAGCCCTTACCTGTAAACTCAGTCGGGTTAACAACTACCGTCCTCCTGGATGGGGACCTCGGGAGAAAGTGTGATCTGGTGGAGCGTAAAAGTGTTGTTGATGCGGTCCCCATGCGTTTGCCTAAAGAAATTAGACGAGATGGCGGCCATTCGAGGTCAATGGAGCTCGTGTTTGCGGTATCCTTCCAGATTACCTGAGCGCTTGGAGGTGTAGAAACCTCGGATGCCTGCGATAAGCCAGCACCAGATCCCCCCTCATTCACTCTTTCATTTTCTTTTGGTTTTAAGAACTTAAGCATGACCGAATAAACCTTGTGGTTGTAAGGCGGCAAAACATCGGTTGCTGTGTCCAATGCGACGAGTTATCAGACTTAAGTGAAAGTGAGCGTGAGAGCAGACCGTGAAGTGTGGTTGGTGGACACAGAAAGCCGGTAATGCCCGAAGATACATTCAGTTGCTCTGCGCCACCGGTCCCCGGAAAACACTTGTGGGCGAAACCATCAAGGATCAGAATAGAGTGACCATCTTGAAAAAAGAACCTCTCAACCGTTGAGCCGACTACCTCGAACAACAATTGTTCTGGCCACCAGTTGCCACTTATCTGGAGCCGTTTAACATACCCAACTCAGAGTGGCAGAAGCGGAGAGGTGGCCCTTGAGCTGGCAGAGGGGTATCAAAGAGATTACGAAACATTTGGATGCTGTCGGTGCTACTCACTTTCAGGATTGGGACCGCATAGACCTCACTGCGCCTAGTTAGATACACTGCAAGATATGGCTGCTAACTGATGTCAATTGCGTTCGTGTTGTCAGTTTCCATCCAGATTGCCTGAGTGAATGTCTGGAGACAGTTCGGAATGATTGTGGTAAGCCCCTCCCCCGTCCACCTTTATTCTTTTCTTTACAATAAGGCTTTCAAATAAATCATGGTTGTGCGGCAGCGAAGCATCAGTGTTGAACACCGACGTCATGCTTTCGATGATGACCCTGGGACTAATCACGGGTGAATGAAGCTAACAGACAAGGCTCAATAACGCAGTCGGTGGCTCTTCCGCCTTTGACTGCGTAACTGCACACTTGACATCCGATAAGGCGTTCAATGACCGAGTTCCCCATTTTTCAGTAGTCGCACTAAATGGTGATAATCCTGTACAGCCCTTGTGTACAACAATATCTATGTGGGTCTGTTTGGGTATCCGTCCGGCATAATCGGCACAAAGCTTTGAAGACAGTTAAACATAGAAACGGGACGTCGGAATGATTGCATCTGATTTCAAATATCGCAGCGCTTTGACAGAAACCTTTCCCATATGCCAATCTACATGACACTGAACCTATCTGATAATATCAACAACTTCTATTCCCGGACCGTATAAAGTGGGTTGCCTTACCTGGACAGTCACGGTGAGGGAGTAGAGCTGAAACAAGCTTGTCCAGAATTACATGCCTTGTGATACTGGTGAATTTCATGTGGTTCCATCCTGTCTGTTCGTATTGCACGATAAATTCATTATGAGTTGAAATGATAGACAACTTCAGAAAGGTAAGCATCTTAATTCGTTTCCAGTAAATGAAACAGTAAGCCATGCTTGACATGCTTTTTTTGTCGATCGTTTTTCAGGAACCATAATTTGTACCTGAATGAGAATTTTTTTGAAATGGTCAAAAGCGCACTAAAAAGGACCTTTACCTGTAGTGTACCGGTTCAAGTGCAGTCTTCGCCGAAATAACGGTTCAGGAAACAGTTGGCCAGTAATTCACAAACTATTTTGTTAAAAATAGCTTTATAAACCTTCCCGTGCTCTTTGTGTTAAGACTACGATAGCACAGCACACGATTGCCAACTAACCACTTCCGGACTATTATTAGAATAGTATTACTATTACACTATCCGCTATACAACTTGGACTACTACGCCTAACTAAGGTACGATACCAACTAACCACTTCCGGACTATTAGAATAGTATTACTATTACACTATCCGCTATACAACTTGGACTACTACGCCTAACTAAGGAGTACGTGTAATCCCAGTCTTCTTGGAATTTCGTAATTAAAAAAATGCTGTTCCTTTTCCATGCTAACCTGAAACAACAATCGTGGTTGTTAACATCCCGTAACACGGTGGCACTTTCAGATCGGAGACGCACGGTCGCAGCAAAATCTGTCATCTTAATCAGTGCTTTCATCCATAATCCGGTAAACGTCGGTGAATCAAACTCGCAGACATGAACAGGACACATGGATCCATATTTCCACCCCTAACTGATGTCACAAACCACTGGGTCTCATGGTGCTTTGTCATCGCGCAGCTTACACTGAATGCAAACACCATACTTCAGCCATTTTACGATGTTTTAACCAACTCACCCGAATGTTACTACACCGGGCTATTACTGCTGAATTTACGCGACTCAGCTTATTTACACGGGTCCACAGAAGTTATCTTTCGGTATTACATCTGACTCTGTGAAACCGGATTGGATTTTTTGATCCCGCAACGATATCAAGGTACGATCTGTGATTAACCTCAAAGAGAAATTTCATTAATGAAAACCGAGAGTTTAAACCTTTTAGCGCACTCGACATTCACTAAGTTGTACGACATAAACACAGCAAGACATATTGGTCGAGGCAATTGTTGCTTACACGTATGGCTTTTGTCACTGGTAAGCAGCCTCAAAAAGAAATTATTAACTTGCTGCTGCATACTCATATTAGACGGCTGTAGAGTGAATTAATCATCATCGATCGCAATATACCGATAATACACATTATTGCTTAAACTGCCATATAACCATGAGGGAAGAAAGTCTTAGGAGAGAGTGGGAAGCCCTGTGTTCGTAGGACAGACAATCAAGAATAACGTGTCTGCACCTTTGGGCATAATTAAACACATCTGAGCATCGTGTCGAATTAAGTCGCCATCAACGAGCCTCATTCGATGAGTCCAGAGCACAATAAGTGAGCTAAGCAGTTCGGCTAAGAAATGACAGCATAAGTGGTGATATCCACACCATTAGAGTGAATATGTACACGCTGGGTAACACAGCTACACAATTGCCACTTATGAGTTGAATGTCCACAAGCCATCGACTTGCATGCCAAGAATCCCTTCACCGGACAGGCTTGTCAAATCAACTGAGAGGGTTGAGAATTTCAAGACTCCAACTGATGATGTGTCATAATGTGTGAATGACAACCACAGGCTATTGGGTGTAAGGGGTTATCAGTTAGATGACCCGGTTAACGATAAATACACGATAAATGTGGCACAAGTCAAAACACATTTTCTCGATAGAGGGAATTCGCCATCCACGCTGTTTTTTAGATAAAATCTGCTTTAATGGACAGTTTAATTACCCTCAAACGGCCCTCCTCTCATCTGTTCTACACTGGGAGATCTGTTTGTATTCTCTGCACACGTATGTTTATTTATGGGCTGAAAATGTTAACAAGAGTGTTTCGCTCTGGGTTATCGGCACTTCTAGTTTTATAAGAAAACTGTTATATCTGCTGTTTCGTCGGCCCGTGGTATCTGCTGCTGACCCGCTCCAGTGCCTAGTGTCGGAGAGAAAAGACTCACAGAAGGGAACACAACAGCTATATTCCGAACAAGTGAGTGAGTGCGTGCGAGTGCGAGTGCGAGTGCGAGAGCGAGAGCGAGAGCGAGAGCGAGTGCGAGTGCAAAAGTTACAACGGCCCCACGCTATTTAAAGGGGACTTTCTGACATTGATCCAGGCTGTCTGATAGGCGTTAGTGATCACCCATCAACATCGATCGTGCCTCTGTGAAAAGCCTGAATGCTGATCACATTCGGTCGTGCTTCTGTGGCGCAGAGAACACTCATCAGGTTTTACTGAATTGATCGAATGATTGATTGGCCTGGATGCTTGCCGGCTTTCCAGTTGAGGTTTTGGTGGAGCAGTAGGTTCCGGGCGTTCAGAAGTTGATTTCAGGAATCTGACCTTCCTGGTAAAAACCTTTATAGCAAGGTTGGGTTGGACCTCAACTGCATGTCTCGACTCCTTCATAGTGTTGTGACAACATTCCTATGACGCCTTGACAAGAAAACTCGACAGAATTACAGGAATGAATCTGCGTAAAAAGAGAGCTACTCTGGGGTGATATATAAGGACCTCGGTTTTATGCCTCAGGTTGAAAATCCTTTAAAAGATCTTAACCTCTAATTGGGTCGTATTCGGTAACTCTGATCCAGGAATTCTAAGGGCGTGATGATATGATAAACATCAGGGTGTCTTAACATGACAAAGGTAAAGAGTGGACGTAACGAAAAGCAAGTAGCAAGCACATTACCGGTTGCAATGGACGGAGCAGTGTCGAACACAACCGATGCAAACAAGGCAGCACAGCTCAGCTAAGTCCGCCAGACGCTCAACCAGAAGGAAGCAACAGAACACTAAGTTAATCGATGAAAAAATATAATAGCAATAAAAAATGGAAACAGTCACAGTGGGTAAATGCACGAAATGCAGGTTTATGGTAGCAAATGGAAACTCTCAGTTGTCTTGAGGAACGAAGTTCATTGTGCTGAAAAAAGCAGATGGAATACCGAAAAATGATGATTAGACACAATCAAGCTGGTGCAATTTACCAAGAGAAAAGTTAGTGCTATACAGTGTGTTGCTAAAAACTCATCGACAGCAACCTTATGAGTGGTTTTCTTTATGAAAATATACTGCGATATCTCGAATATCGTGCCAACTGAAACATGAGGCGGCCTGTGTGCAGCACATTCAGTTGTAGAGTATCACAAACGAGAGATTCAGTTGAGCCTCTCGTGAAAACCAAATCGATCTGCAAATGAGTGTATTTCTCACTCAACACTGTTCAAGTAGAGCCACAAGAACGGAGCCGATGAGAAAACGAACAACCAAAAAGCGCAGAGTGACGCGTTATTGTCCTTCGAGCAAAGGTTGTTCTTTCCTATCGAAACAGGTAAACTATACAGGATTGAATCAGACCATCAATACTTCACAATACACTAAGCGACGTCCCCATGAAGCCAACTACTTCTTGTGTGAAGCATAGCTTCTAATCGGGCTTCACACGCTACAAACAGCCATTCTGACAAAAAAAAACTTCATCAGCCTGGATAGGTCATTTTGAGTACAGGTGGTACCCAGACTGTCTCTATTCTTTCAGCTAAACCAATCTATAAGTTGCACCACAACAATGAGCAAAACAGATGCCACAGCTGGAATATCACTATGTATTTGAAATCAAGCGTGGAGACATTCAAAGATCGCGTCACGTTGCTCACCTGGAAGGCTACTTCTTTTAATTCGCAGAGCCGATGGAATCACACTGTGCCGGCGTTTGCGTTTGGCGGGTTTGATGCTCCTAAAAGTGAAAAGAGAGAACAGGGAAAGTTGAGGTAGAAAAGGCCTTAACAACTACAATGCGAAGATACATTTAGCAAACACTGGGTCACTATAAGCGAGCCAAGTGATTCAAAAGAGATAGGGTAATCGGGTTGATAACAAAAACGTCAGCAATTGAGTATTGAGAGTTTGGCGCACGCAAGAGTGTAGATTAACCATGCGCGTTCGTCTCATCAGTAAGTTTTATTCAGCAGGTCCCACATGTTTTGAACTATCGTCATCCAGCTCCGCAGAGGCAATAGACGTAAACAACTGTAAACCGAAATGTTTCCGTGCTTAAGGCGCAAACTTACTGACCGAAAGGTCCGTGGTTCAAAATCAACCTCAGAATTTCGATTCCTCCTGTCTAGGCTTGAGTAACCTAACAGTACTTCAGCCCTAGTGGTCCCTTCAGACGGTATGGTAGCTAGGCACCAAAAGGGTGCCACGGCTGAGCAATTAGTTTTCTTACCTCCAAACTTCTCGATATGGACGACACCAGCTTACTTTGTTCCGAATCTGTGTTCCAGAAACCGTCTTTTTTGTAGATCGCCTCCCCCCGATCTGTCACTCTTCAAACATACCGCATCACCCTGGAAAAGACCTCAAGTGCTCCTCATTTCAAAGTGTGGCTCCGCATCTGATTAGATTGATGTCATCTTCACTTTCCCTTAGACTGTTAGCATTAGCAACTACCTGTTTTTCTGTATTTTTTTCCAACATTCTGACGGTTTATGTCATGCACAGCTTTTAGCTCGGAGTTGTGCCGGTGAGCAATTGTCTGGTGTTGCTAATAATCGGGAACAGGAGCACAAAACATATAGAAAGTGGGCGAACTTGTCGACAAGTAAGCAACCCGCCATATAAAATCAGAGGTGTTCCGAAGTACCAAGACAACACTCCTTACTCGACTCTACTTTTCGCTCTCTCTACAGATACATGTATAGCGGAATAGCATCTTCGAAGCAAGGGCTCAATATTGTAAAAACAATGTTACGCACGGAGACGTTCGGGACCTGACAGGCTTCTGGCGTACCACCGGCTTCTTAGGCGAACGGCGACGATGACGTTGAGACGAGACAGAAGAGTACTCAACCGATGAGTCCAAAAATGCGGAACGGGATTCGCTGTTCGACTGGCGAGCTTGCTTCTGTTGCTGTTCCAGTGCATGAACACGTTTTTCCTGGAAGTTAAAAATCGGATTGGATTGAAAACGAGTGACTTAAACTGCATTGGGGATGGAGTTCGTCGTATTGAATAGAAAAGCTTGTCGAAAGCCATGTGAATGTTAAGTAACCGCAGGTATTCTCAGCGAACCCGAAAGTGAATGTCGTATACTAGACAAAGTAATGCGAAATTGTGATGCGTCATGGTGCATTTTGGAAGCGGCATGAATCTTGTTGTCCGTCGGACGTATGGAAATCATGCACATTTTCGTAGAGTCTGGTTCAACAGTGTAACCAGTCCTCGAATTTTGAATGCAATACACCCAACGACTTGGTAAATAGCTATGGCCCTCTTTCAAAGCACGACACTGCGGTGCTCGGTCTATCTCGATCGTCGTCATCATCACCATCAACAACACTGATGCTTCCCTGCCGATCTAATTAAAACAAATAATGCTTAATCTCTGAATTAAACGCATTTCAGCGGAATTGCGGTAATCGCTATTTTCACCTGGTGACATCAGACGTCGCCGGGATGTCACTGCCCATTGAAAGCATAGATTAGCAGGTTTCAACCGATAAGCTGTAGCAAGCGAAGTCAAACTGGGAGGTGGAGATCTTCACTTATCAGAATAATCAGAGTTTGAACCACCCTCGGATGGACACAGTTTTATCTGAGCTCTCCTGTTAGATTAATAACTCGAGAATCCCAAATTAACATCCATCAGAATATTTGTTCAGCGTGAGAATGCCCATCAGAAAACGCGCGCATCAGTCCTGCTGTACTACAGAGTGTAAGGTTCCCAGAGCAGAATAACTAGGTGAAAAATTCGAACTCTCCAAAAAAAGTAGGAGTAGTGCAGTGTATGTACCAATAGGCAGTGAAACACGAAACGATGGTACTCAATAGGCGTGTGCAGCAAGATGGTCTTCTTTCAAAATACTTCAGACACCCACATAGTAGACAGGAGGTAGGTGGTTAGTTATCCATCCAGGATGAGTGATGTGCATTTTGTTTATTGATTGTGAACAGTCACTGTTTTCGAATTATCCACTCGATGAGAAGTCTACTGCAACAAAGTCCTAAAAGTAATGAACTCAAAGTCTTCGAATGGATGTTCGATTGTACACAAGATGGATTCAGTGACAATAAGCAGGAACTCATCAATTCCACAATGGATTCGCCTACGTTTCTCAGAGCTACATTGAATGTGAAAAAGCTCGAAGTCGTAGTTCATCTGACAAACCGATTGGAATTTCCAAGCTCGAATTTGTTCTAATTGTTACCTGAATTTCAACACTCCTTAACGGAAACTGTTTACTGCCCTAATTGCCGTTGTCACATCAGACACACACCTCAAGGATCCGTATTCTACAGAGCGAGATGCATTGGTACGCTTTGACCAACCATCCACAACGTCATTGCAATGCGGACTGCTGGTGTGTGAGCAGACGATGGGACGCATTTTATAACGTCGACTCACGTGTTGCCGTCAGGTACAGGCCTAACCACATCTAGCTGTTACTGTGCCGGTTTGGCTTGAGCCATTCACCATTAGGACGGTTGTATGGCAGCGAAGCATCAGTATTGGGCATTGATGTTGTACTGTTGATAATGATGATGCAACAAAGGAGTGACGGCCTGATTATTCTTGGGATGGAAAAATTTAGTATCGTACAATGCACCAACAATGTGACCGGCTTACACCAAAACTGCACGGACCCTTATCACGAAGCCAAATTGTGACACCAGTTGTACTACACAGACGATAGCCCATGCGAGTGCACATTTTACCTCTGATGACATTGGATGTCCACAATAACAAGTCACCTCGTCTGTCCGCATCACCTACCAATTCAAGGAGAGATGCTCCGACATATATGGTCAACCGGATGGCTCAATCGGCCGAATCATATTTGAATGATCGACTGACCTGATTAATCAACAAGTTATTGATGCAACAGTGACTGTTTCCCCTCCAATAAATTTGAATGACCGCCTTAAAAAGTCACGCCGCTCATTCACGACGCGACCGCGTGCCATCATCGACCACTACAAATCAACCGATTAATCGGTCGATCATCTGACGTTT